CCTCCCGAAGCTATCCGAACCATCGGAACTCACATCTGAGCCCTTTAACACATAAGTCAACATCTGGTTGACTTTTCTAACTTAAGCTTACTCAAAAGAGACTAAGTGTCTCAAACCTTACCAAACCTCTCCGAACCCGAGCCAACTAACCCGGTAACACAAAATACAGCTAAACAAGGCAATAAGAAGAAGAAATGGGGGAAACGGAGCAGTAACCCATGAAACAACCGGCCGAGTCGTTGCATCCTCCCCTCTTAAACAAACGTTCATCCTCGAATGAGTCAAAAAACATACATAAAGCCTCAAACAGGTGAGGATATTTGCTCCACATCTCCCGCTCGGTCTCCCAGGTAGCATCCTCTATGGGCCGACCTCTCCACTGCACTTTCACTAAAGCTATATCCTTTGACCTCAACTTTCGAACCCGACGCTCCAAACTAGCTACTGACTCCACATCATAAGTCAAATCATCATCTAACTAAGCCGTGCTGAAATCCAGAACATGAGACAGATCCCCAATATAATTTTGGAGCAAGAAATATGAAATACCGGATGCATACTTGACAAGATGGGTGGCAAAGCAAGCTCATACGCCACCTCCCCAATCCTCCGAAGCACCTCAAAAGGCCCAATGAACCAAGGACTCAATTTACCTTTCTTCCCAAATCTCATAACACCCTTCATGGGCGAAACCTTCAACAGAACCTTCTCACCAACCACGTAGGACACATCCTGAACCTTCCTGTCAGCATAACTCTTTTGCCTCGACTGTGCTGTACGAAGCCTCTCCTGAATTACCTTCACCTTTTCTAAAGCATACTGCACCAAGTCTATCCCCAATAGCCTAGCCTCACTTGGCTCAAACCAACCAACTGGAGATCTACAACGCCTCCCATACAAAGCCTTATATGGAACCATCTGAATACTCGACTGGTAGCTGTTGTTATGAGCAAACTCTGTGAGTGGTAGCAACTGATCCCATGACCCTCCAAAATCAATGACACAAGCACGCAACATGTCCTCCAATATTTGAATAGTGCGCTCGGACTGCCCGTTCGTCTGAGGGTGAAAAGCTGTGCTCAACTCAACCTGAGTACCCAATTCTCGCTGCACAGACCTCAAAAACTACAAAGTAAACTGAGTGCCCCTATCTGAAATGATGGAAACTAGGACACCATGCAAACGAACAATCTCCCAGATATAGATCTCTGTCAACCGTTCTGAAGAATAAGTAGTATACATAGGAATGAAGTGCACGGACTTGGTCAGCCGATCCATAATCACCCAAATAGCATCGAACTTCTTCAAAGTCCACGGGAGCCTGAATACAAAGTCCATGGTGATCCACTCCCACTTCCACTCTGGAATATCCATCTGTTGAAGCAAGCCACCCAGTCGTTGATGCTCATATTTCACCTGCTAACAATTGAGACACCGCGCTACAAATTCCATAATGACCTTCTTCATTCTCCTACACCAATAATGTTGTCTCAGATCCTGATACATCTTTGCGGCACCCGAATGAATGGAATACCGCGATCTATGGCCCTCTTCCAGAATCTACTCCCGAAGCCCATCTACATTGGCCACACATATCCGGCCCTGCATCCTCAACACCCCATCATCACCAATGGTCCCATCTCTGGCATCATCGTGCTGAACTCTGTCCTTAAGGACAAGTAAATGAGGATCATCATACTGGCTCTCTCTGATACGATCATATAAGGAAGACCGAGAAATCACACAAGTCAATACCCAACTGGGCTCCGAAATGTCTAACCTCACGAACCGATTGGCCAAGGCCTGAAAATTAACTGCAAGAGGTCTCTCCCCAACTAGAATATATGCTAAACTCCCCATACTCACCGCCTTCCTACTCAAGGCATCGGCCACCACATTGGCCTTCCCCAGATGGAACAATATAGTAATATTATAATCCTTTAGCAACTCCAACCATCTCAGCTGCCTCAAATTGAGATCCTTCTGCTTGAACAAGTGCTGGAGGCTACGAAGATCGGTAAACACCTTACAAGACACACCATACAAATAATGCCTCCAAATCTTCAACGCGTGAACAATGACAGTCAACTCCAAATCATGAACAAGGTAGTTCTTCTCATGGGGCTTCAACTGGCGAGAAGCATAAGCGATAACTCTACCCTCATACATCAACACACACCCAATACCAACTCTCGAAGCATCACAATACACGGTATAGGAACCTGAAGCTGATGGCAAAACTAATACTAAGATGTCTTGAGCTTCTGAAAGCTCTCCTCACACTCATCTGACCACATGAATGGAGCACCCTTCTGAGTCAACTTCGTCAAGAGCGATGCGATAGATGAGAATCCCTGAACAAACTAGCAGCAATAACCCACCAAACCAAGAAAGCTATGAATCTCTATGGCTGAGGACAGTCTAGGCCAACTCTGAATCGCCTCTATTTTCTTCGGATCAACCTGAATACTTTCACTGGACACCACGTGCCCCAAGAAAGACACTGAACTAAGCCAAAACTCACATTTGGATAAAGCTTCTCCTCCCTCAATCTCTGCAACACAACTCTCAAATGCTCCGCGTGCTCCTCTCAACTACGCAAATACACCAGAATATCATCAATGAAAACTATGACGAACGAGTCGAGATAAGGTCGGAACACGCTGTTCATCAAATGCATAAACGCTTCTAGGGCATTGGTCAGCCCAAAAGACATCACCAAGAACTTATAATGACCATATCGGGTCTTGAAATCCATCTTAAGAATATCCGAGTCCCTAATCTTCAACTGGTCATAACATAAACGGAGATCAATCTTGGAGAACACTCTCGCTCCCTGAAGCTGGTCAAACAAATCATCAATACGAGGCAAAGGATACTTGTTCTTAATTGTTACTTTGTTCAACTACCTGTAGTCAATGCACATCCTCATAGTGCCATCCTTTTTCTTCACAAATAGAACTGGCGCACCCCAAGGCGATACACTAGGCCGAATGAACCCCTTATTAAGGAGTTCCTGAAGCTGCCCCTTTAACTCCTTCAACTCCGCTGGTGCCATACGATACAAAGGAATAGAGATGGGCTGAGTGCCCGACACCAGATCAATACCAAAATCGATATCCCTGTCCGGTGACATGCTCAACAGGTCTGTAGGAAACACATCGGGAAAATCCCTCACAACTGGAATAGAATCAATACTTGGAGTCTCTGCACCGACATCCCTCAGAAAGGCTAGATATGAAATAAAACCCTTCCCAACTATGTATTGGGCCTTCAAGAATGAAATTACCCTACTGGGAACATAATTAGTCGAACCTCGCCACTCAATCCATGGAACACTCGGCATAGCCAACATCATTGTCTTAGCATGACAGTCTAAAATAACACGACATGGAGATAGCCAATCCATGCCCAAAATAACATCGAAAACCACCATACATAACAACAAAAGATCCACTTGGGTCTCCAGATTCCTAATAGTCACCACACACAACCGGTACACACGGTCTACAACAATAGTATTGACCACCGGGTTAGATACATGAACAAGTGAAACAAGAGACTCACATGGCATATCCAAATAATGAGCAAAGTACAATGACACATAAGAATAGGTGAAACCGGGATCAAATAATATAGAGGCATCTCTGTGGCAGACTGAAACAATGCCTGTAATAACAGCATCGGAAGCCATAATATCGGGTCTAGTTGAAAGTGCATAGAAACGAGTCTGACCACCACCTGATCGACCTCCCCCTCTAGGGCGACCCCTAGCTGACTGACCTCCACCCCTAGCTAGGTGGGTGGGTAGTGGTGAAGTAACTAGTGCTGAAGCCGATGGCTGACTCCTCTGTCGAGATGAACCCGCAATATGATGAGGACAATGCCTCCACATATGACCCATCTCTCTACACTCATAGCAACTCCTGGTTACTGGAGATGGGGACTGAAGGGAACCCCTAGCACCGGAATGACTAGCAGATGCACCTGCCATAGAAGAGCCCTAAACTGATGGAGCACGGGACGAACTCTGAGCTGGAAGGGTACTTAGTGATGACTGGCCCTGATGAGAACTGTGAGAACCATGACCCGATGACGCCCCACAATTACCTGGACGAGCTGGCTGAGCGTGCCTGAATGGACAACCTCTACCGTGCTGAAACTGACCTCTCAAAGGAGCACCGCCATAACTACCAGATCACCAAGGCCTCTTGGACTCCCTCTCATCTCGCTCCTGGAGACGAACTAACTTAATCTCTCGAGCAATATCTATAACCTCCTCAAAAGTAGCACCAAACACCCTCTCCCTGATCATGAGAATCCGAAGCTAATATGTGAGGCCATCAACAAACCTCCTAATCCTCTCTCTATCTGTCGAAACCAACCAAATAGCATGATGAGCTAACTCCAAGAACCTCATCTCATACTGCGACAGAGTCATCTCTCCCTGACGCAACCACTCAAACTGCCTGCACAGCTCCCTTCTGCGAGATTACGGCACAGACTTCTCTAAAAAGAGAACGGAGTACTACTTCCAGGTAAGGGGTGCTGCACCAATAGGCCTACGCCTCTCATAAGCCTCCCACCAAGTGAAAGCGGCTCCAAAAAACTGAAAAGTAGTGAAAAAGACCCCGTTGGTCTCTAGAATACCCGCTGTGCGAAGAATCCTTTGACACTTGTCCAAGAAACCCTAGGCATCCTCGCCCTCTACACCACTGAAAGTCGGAGGCTGAAGTCTACCAAACCTCTCCAACCTACACTGCTCGTCCTCTAGCATGGCATAAGCTACATAGTCCTGAGCAGCTGCAACCGGCTGGGCTGGATGTGCCCCCAGTGTCTGAAGTCCCTGCATGACCTGCTCAGGTGTACGAGCGGTGGGAGTCTAAGTGCCTCCCCCGGCCTGAGAAGTAGCTGCAGCTGTAGTAATTGAAACCGCCTGAGCTTGTCCAGTGCATACTAATAGAATCTGAGCCAAGGCCTCCTGCAGATCCGGAATCACAATGGGCACAGCTGGTGCCTGTGCCTTAGCTGGTGCTTCTGGAGCATCCACAACTGGGACGTGATCCTGAACTAGGGTGTCTGGTAGATCTGCAAGTGCTGTGTTAGCTATAGTGCGAGCACACCCCTGCCCCTACCGCGACCTTAACTGCGTTCTCGGCCTCTATTGACCACAACTGGCGGTAATGGTGGTCGTCCATCCTGATCGGTAGCGCATGTCCTCACCATCTATGAGAGAATAGAATACAGAAGTTTAGTACTTGGATCAACAGATTCGCACGACAAGAATTTCAAAAATATGAAGTTTTTCCTAAAGGTTCTGCAGCCTCTCGAGGATAAATACAAACATCTTCGTACCAATCCGCGAGACTTTATTAAACCTTCTCATAAATCGTGAGACCTATGTAACCTAGGTTTTGATACCAACTTGTCACGACCCTAAATTCGGACCCGATCATGATGGCGCCTCTCGTGAAGACAAGGCCAGCCAACACAACTCCCAAATCATTTTAACAGTTATAATAACACAATTTAAGTCATTAACATGATAATAATCCCAAAATAAAAGTGAAATAATACAATTTACGGAAACTAACACAGTCCGACATCGAGGTGTCACCAGTCATGAGCATATAAACATATGTCTAAGAGTTTGAAAGGGGTTTATACAGTCTATTACAGTAATAGAAGCAGAAAGTAAGATATGAGGGAGAAATACTAGGCTGTGAACGCCAAGCAACTACCTAGTGGACTCCGAATGGCCTGCTGAGAGCAATAAACCCTCACTGGCGGGACATGAAGCTCCTGAATCTGCACACAGGGTGCAAGGAGTAAAGTGAGTACTCCAACTCAGTGAGTAATAACAATAAATGAAGATTGAGTTATAAGAAATCACATAAAAACAAAATAACATGTTATAAAGAGGCAGAGTAAAACCAATAAAGTGCAATAAAACAGTGAAATCTCATAAAACACCTTAGTTTAGTATAAGCTTCTTTAAAATACCTTTTTAACAGTTAAACAAGTAAATGAAAGGTAGCAAGAAAAGATAAACACATAAAATTCGCCCCTCGGGCACAATGTCAACAGAATTAGCCCCTTGGGCACTAACGTGGAACAACACCAGCCCCTCGGGCTATATCAAATCATAATGGGTACCCGTGCTCACTAGGGGTGTACAAACTCTGGGAGGGGCCCCTTACGGTCCAAGCGCAATATCAAGCCATCTCGTGGCATAATCAAATTGGCTCTCGGCCTCATATCAAGCCACATTATGGCGTACAACTCAGGCCCTCAGCCTTATAATTATAATCAGTACAACACTGCTGCGGTATGTAGCCCGATCCTACAATAATCCTCACAATACAGGCCCTCAGCCCTACTCAGTCAGAAATCTCTAAAAGCCACTCGGGCACAGTAAAATATGATGCTCAGCCCAAAAATACCATTTAAAGTGTTAAAACAAAGTAAACATGGCTGAGTTATGAAAACAGTATAATATAGCATGACTGAGTACAGATATAAAATCAAAACAGTGAGGAAATAGCAGTAAAAATCCCCTAAGGTTCTAAATAGTTGGCACGAGGCCCAATTATGGCATTCAACTCACAACATGATGATAGCAAACAATTTTCAATCAATTACGCGGTAAAACAGTCATTCAAGATGGACTAAGTCACAATCCCCAACAGTGCACGACCCCATGCTTGTCATCTAGCATGTGCGTCACCTCAATATAGCACAACGATGTGAAATCCGGGGTTTCATACCCTTAGGACAACATTTACAATCATTACTCGGCTCGATCCGGTCCAAGCTCTAGCCCGCGATGCCTTTGCCCCTCGAATCAGCCTCAACTCGCATTGAATCTATCCAAAATCAGAATCACGATGTTAAAATATTCTAAGGGAACGAAGCCCATGCGAAAATAATCAATTTACGACATAAATCCCGAAATTAACCAAAACCCGACCCCCAGGCCCACGTCTCATAATTCGATAAAATTTACATCAATAGATTCCTTATTTCCCCACGAGTTCATACATATTAAAAGTCCCAAAATTCAACCACAAATGGCCCCTCAAATCCTCAAGTCAAGGTCTCCAATACCAAGCCCTAATCCCCAAATTTTAACCCTTAATTTCCATTAATCTTAGGCCAAATTAGTAAAATAATGCCATAGGATCGATTATTAGGTTCAAAAATCTTACCTCCAGATGTTATCCCTTGAATCTCTCCTCAAAATCTCCCAAAAGACTCCAAAACCGACTTGAAATGGTGAAGAACAACTCAAAAATCGTGAAGAAAATCTTTTATACTTTCTGACCCAGGCTTTTTGCACCTGCGGTCACTTTCCCACTTCTGTGGTCCCGCTTCTGCAGCCTAATCCACCGCATCTGTAGTTTTCACTTAAATGACCATTTCCGCATCTACGGTTAAAAACTTCGCACTTGTGCTACCGCAAGTGCGCCCATTTCACCGCTTCTGCGGTTCCTGATGATCCTCTTAATTGTCCGCATCTACGGCTGCCTTCCACTTCTGCAAGCATCGCACCTGCGGCCTCCCTACCCCAGGTGCGGTATGACAACAACAAAATACTTCAGTTGCCCCAATTCAACTTCAAACTTTTCGCCAACCATCCGAAATCACCCCGAGGCCCTCGGACCTTAACCAAAAGCACAAAAAAGCCATATACCACTATTCTAACTTATACCAATCCTCAAAACATCTCGACCAACATCGAGTCAACCAACACACATCAGATTCAAGCCTAAGGTTCCAAATTCTTCCGAATTACGCTTTTGATCAAAAAGTCTATCAAACCACGTCCAAATGACCTGAAATTTGGCACATACATCCCAAATGACACAACGGACCTACTGCAACTCTCAAATTCCATTCCGACCCCTATATCAAAATCTCATCTATCAACCAGAAAACGTCAAAATTCTAATTTCGCCAATTCAAGCCTAAATCTACTCCGGACCTCCAAAATATGTTCCGATCACGCTCCTAAGTCCCAAATCACCTCCCGAAGCTATATGAACCATTGGAACTCACATCCGAGCCCTTTAACATATAAGCCAATATCCGGTTGACTTTTCCAACTTAAGCTTACTCAAAAGAGACTAAGTGTCTCAAACCTTACCAAACTTCTCCGAACCCGAGCCAACTAACCTGGTAATACAAAATACAGCTGAACAAGGCAATAAGAAGAAGAAATGGGAGAAATAGAGCGGTAACTCATGAAACGACCGACCGGATCGTTACAAATATGAAATACAGAATTTCAATATTTCTACAAATTAACTACAAAATATCTACAAAAAAATAGTTCATAACAGTATTTAGCTCTAGTTTATTGCAGGTTCATCTGGAACACTGAAGTTAATTGATATTCCAACATCTCCGACGATAGTGGAATATGAAAGTATAATAATAATAGAAAGTACACCAAGTGTTATTGAAGTAGGCCAAGTATACGAAGACAAGCAAACAATTGCAAGTGTAATGAAGCACTATTCTGTCATGAACAAGTTCCAATTTAGGGTGAAAAGATCTAGTGCTAGAAGGTAGGAACATATGAATGGTCAAAAATCATGTTTTTTATATTGTTTAACAAAATTGTAGATAGTTTGTAGTTGTTTTATATATAAATTGTTGAATATGATCTTTTATGCTACAACAATTTTTTTATCTACATTTTTTATACCAGTGTTTAAATTGTTTTTATTTTGTAGATACTGGCTGGTATGTGTTGGTGAAAATTATACATGACACTTCAAGGAAACTAGCATAAATGATTCTGCAATGTTCAAGATTAGAAAATTCAACAGCTTGCACACATGCTCTTTGATGGACAGTACATTCATACAACGCAAACCTATTTCCATGGTAGTTGGTAGCATGTTTATTCCAAAATATGCTGATCCTAAGACAATTTACACACCAAAAGACATACAAACTGATATGTTGTCTGAACACGGCGTGAACTTAACATACATGCAAGCTTGGAGAGCAAAAGAAAAGGCTTTGGAGTTTTTGAGAGGTCTACATCAAATAACCTAGTTATTTGTATATTTTGGAGAAGACTTATCCGAGGTCTGTAGTTAAATTGAAGAAGACGCAGGATGACTGCTTCTTGTATGCATATTGTTGTGATTTGTACATCAATCAGTGGTTGGGAATATTGTAGGCCAGTGATAGTAGTTGATGGGACCTTTTTAAAGTCAACATATAAGGAAATAATGCTAACAGCTAGTACATTGGATGCAACAAGTATTGTAGATTTATTGTAGATATATTGTAGCTTGTCTGTTTTTTGTAGTACTTGTAAATTTATTGTAGATATATTGTTAAAAAGTTGTAGTTTGTATGTATATGTCTTCCTCTGCATTTTTCATGCAGCCAATTAATTGCTTTTTGCCACATAATGTAGGTACCATATTACCATTTGGCATATGCTGTTGTTGATTCAGAAAATGACGCATCATGGAAGTGGTTTTTTGAGCAATTCAAACATGCATATGGTAAAAGACCAAATATGTATGTTGTTTCGGATCAGAATGAGTGTATCTTGAAGGAAACATCTATTGTTTATCCCGACATGCCACATTATTCTTGCATGTGGCATATTTGGACAAATATAAGCGCAAAGTTCAAGAAGGGTCATCTAAAGTTAAGCGAATTGTACTTTGCCACGGCACGATCATACACGCTTGATGAATTTAATGAAAGGATGTCAAAGATTGAAGAGATTGACCCGCGTGTTAAAGCATACTTATACGATATTGGCTATCATAGATGGTCTCGAGTACATGCTATGGTGAACAAAACTTTGACTATGACATCAAACATTATAGAGTCGTTGAATGCTGTAACAAAAGATGCAAGAGAGCGGCCGATAGTAGAACTATTAGAGTATATGAGGACTCTTCTTGAACGTTGGACTAATGAAAAATTATTGAAAGCAAAAGGTACATTCGCATACCTTGGGTTTAAATTCAACAAAGAGTTGGATGATAACAGAACATTTTCGCACAAGCTTAGAGTAAGATATGACCATTTATTGCATCAAAATAAAATATTAAAGTCAATGTAGATAATTTGTAGATATTTTGTATTTAACCGTATATGAATTGTTTTTTGTTTATAATGTAATTGTAGGTGAGGGCTTCAACAGATTACATCCATACAGTACTAGATGGTGCGATGCTCTATATTGTTTGTCTTGAAAACAAGAGATGTAGTTGTGGGCAATTCCAGCTTGATGAACTTCCTTGTCCACATGCTTTGGCTGCTTTAAGGCACAAGGATGAGTCTTATGAACAATATTGTTCTCCTTATTACACAAGAGAGAGCCTCTTACATACTTATGAAATACCAGTAAATCCCCTACCTGATGAAAGCAAATGGAATGTGCCACAACATATAACTTAAGAAGTTGTAAATCCACCTTCAGGTGGGAAAAGACAGCAGGAAGACCTCAAAAATAAAGATACAAAACATATGATGAAGTAAATTCCAAGAAGTACAAAGTTTCATGTGGCAACTGCGGAGTAGAAGGGCATAAAAAAAGATCTTGCAAGAATGCTCCCAAAAAGAAATAAAATTTTATGTAGTAAACTGAATTTTTCATAAAAATTGTAGATGAGTTCAGGAGAATTATATTTGATGTGTAATAGTTGAGTCACCTTCAACTCTTAATGTAGTTAGTTTGAAATTATTTTGTTTAACTAGTATTCTGTTTTGAGTTAATACTTTCATAGCTTGATTGGTTTGTGAATGAGTTCTATCTATATAATACATAATTATTTTATTATCTCTAGCACCCATCGATATTTGTTAATGATCCATATAATTTATCTACAAAAAAACTACAAAATAACTACATAATCTGGAGTTGACAGAGTAACTACATAATAATTAAGTTGAAAAGGAGTTAAGCAGTAACAATAATTAAATCAAGTACTGTTTACTTTCAACAAGTGAATATAAAAACAACAGAATATTTTCCCATTGATCGAACTAGTATACTGGATAAAATAAAAAAACAAAGGGTAAAATAATTATAGCACAAATTTGCTACAATTAAACTTCAACAATCTGCTTCATAAACTTGTCTACTATCTTTCTACAAAACTAGCTGCAACTAAACATTTAACTAAATGTTCCATACAAAAAATTGCAACTAATTCTTCTTCCTCCGGACTTGTGTTTTCTCATTCATAACTGGTGCACCTTTTTCCTTGCTAATCTGCCAGTCACCTCACTTTCACTAATTGCACCATTCTCTTGCTTCTTCCTAGCGTAGTCCCACAGTAGCGCTCCATAGCTTCTACGATATCGATCAATATCAGAAAGGTCATCTGCAGGAATTGGTAGGTCTCCAATGCTGACATACTCTGCAAAGGCAGCAACATATACACCACAGTCGCTGCAAAAATAAAAAAGTGTCAATATTTAGCAAACAATGAACAAAAAAAATGTTAAATAGATAGAAAGAAATAAGATTTTTCATATAGTGATCCTTCTTTTTGTTGTGGTATCTCTCCGACGATCCACTGAATGTCAATAGGGTCGGTAACAACTTTTTCAATGTATGCCTTTGTGTTCTTGAAGTTGATGTCTGAACGCTTGCCATAAAAACCGGTGCATGACAAGTAAAGGGGGATCATAACAGAAAACTTGGTGACTACAGATTCAACAATAGTGTGATTATGTGAAGAGACCATAGAATCATACACATAAAGAACCCTATCGGCAATGTCAAAAATAACCAACACCCAGTGAAATTTTTCTACAATGTTGACGGGCATGATCACATAATCGAATTGATCCCATGCAACATTTTCGAGTAATCTGCACCCCTATATGTATTGTGCTACGACGTCCTAGGGTTTGACAACATCAAGCTTCTTTTCTTGAGGAGAATTGATGAACTTATTATAAATTTATTCAATTCTAGTCTTGAACATACAATCAGTGGTTGTAAACCTTATCTTGTTGTGGGGGCCATACTTTCCTCTTTTCCTCGAGTAGTACATTATAACATCAATGTGCTGCAACCAAAATAGGTTGCATTTAATTTACTCCTTTTGGTAATTATCTACAAAAAATTACTAAATAACTGCAATTACAATTATTTTAAATCAGTATTATAAATTATCTATAGAATATCTACAAAAAATAAACAATTTTTTTAATCATTATTACAAATTATGTACAATATATATACAAACTAAGTACAATTCCGTTTGTTATTAGGCATTAATATAATTTATGTATAAAACATCTACAATATACCTACAATTCAGTTTGTTATTAAACATTTATACAGAATATTTCCAATATTGTGACGACCCAACCCGTCGTCTCATGAGAATCGCTTCGTTTTTCCCATTTTATGCTTCTTCATGTTTCGTTATCGGTATTCGGTGTGTTAGAGTTAAATCGGATTGGTATTGATAGGAAATCAGACACTTAGTCTCTTTAAGGAAGGCTTATTTTGGAAAAGTCAACCGGATATTGACGATTGAGTTAGAGGGCTCGGATGTGATTTCCGGTGATTCAGTTAGCTTCGGGGGATGATTTGTGACTTAGGAGTGTGACCGGAAGTAATTTTGGAGGTTCGGTGTAGAATTAGGCTTGAATTAGCGAAGTTAGTATTTTGGCGACTTCCGGTTGATAGGTGAGATTTTGATCCGAGGGTCGGAATGGAATTCCGAGAGTTTCTATAGCTCCGTTGGTGATTTGGGATATGTGTGCAAAATTTCAGGTCATTCGAACGTGATTTGGTTGGGTTTTTGATCGAATGCGTGTTTTGGAAGTTTTAGAAGAACTTAGGCTCGAATTTGAGGTAATTTGATTGTTTTTGGTGTTGTTGAAGTGTTTTGATGATTGGAACGAGGTTGAAAAATGTTTTAGGATGCGTTGGTGCTTTTGGTTGAGGTCTCGGGGGCCTCAGGTGTGTTTCGAATGAGTTTTGAGCGAGTACGGACATCCCAGAACTTAGAAAATGGATGGGGCAGTCATTGGTGCG